AGCACATTTTGTTTTATTTATTCTTTTCTGGTATGTTTCGATTCAATCCCAATTGTGCCAAATCAAAAAGAGACGTTATTGAAGACTGATAAATAACTGTAGAAAATATATATTTGGCCTAACTTCTAATTAGTTTACATTTTAGAACAGATTGAGTGATGTTGAGAAAATAATCTCTAACGCTTTAATGTTCACTCCTTGAAGAAATACAAATCTAATATGTAGAAGTCTTTATTAGTCTTTATAATTAGTTTTTTATTTTATTTTATTGTTTGTTCCCTGTATTTTCCCTGTTTTATTTTTATTAGGCATATACAAAGTGGTTGAGATGCAGTTTGATTGTAAAAGGTCGATTTCCAAGTAGATATAATGACTCAAAATGTGATCCACCAAATTGTTGAGCAAACCATTAAAGGATGAAAATGACAGTAAAACGTGTCATAGTGTCACATTACAAAGTTATGTCCGTCCATCTATCCATTTTCTACCACAAAATCCATTTCTGGGTTGGTGGGGGTTGCAGTCAGAGATGCCACCCAAGTCTAGCCCCAGTTTTTACTAATTAATGTAATAATTGTCATCTAGATTCCCTTCAGGGGCCTCTAAAAATGGTCTTGCGGGTCGGATTTGGTCCACGAGCCTAAGTAGTTGACTCCGGCTGAGTGCGGGTGGTCTTTCTCTTTTCTGTCTTTTATATGTAACTGTTTTATTGTTTGATTGCATGAATGTTTTAATGGATTTTATGTGATTTTTGGTCACCTTGAGTGTTGTAAATACTCAATAAATGTGATATATTGTGTGAACATGCTGATCTACAGATGTGACCGAGGCTAAAAATACATGTGAAAAGTAGTGATAGAGAAACTATTGTCGATACATTTTAGCTCAATCATTTTCAGCTTTGAATCATGTATGGTATGTCAGGTATCCCAGCTTTAATAATAATGACTATAGACAGTGCTCGTTTATAAAATCCTTTCACGTGCACACATTTCTCCATTATGAGATCAATAAATGAATCTTATCTTACATAAACAGTACATATCGAGCCCATTATATATTTGAAAAACAGTGAAATTCCCCTATGTGACAAATATAAATCTTATCTTATCATGGCACAAATATAACATCTCAAAACTAATGTTTCCATGACTCAAAGCTGTTTGGGCGGATATACTGTCACAATTTTTCCACATTTGAATATTCAAAACAAAGCCTTTTCCTGATACTCTTGTCTGTCTCTGTCTAAACTCTGCACGTGGACGAACCAGTCTCTGTTAAACCTGTTTGTCCATCAGGGCTAATAACCTGAGCTGAAACTACTCAAAACAAGACTAAGTTCTCTTCCTCTGTTAGTCTGTAATGTGTGAGAAAAAGGCTGGAAGAAAGAATTTTAATATTTTGCCATAATTTTTGGACAATGTACAGAGGTGGCAAAAGTAATAATACAGCTGCTAATGTTAAACCGTAAAGTAATGTTGAAATACGAGGTAATAAAGGTAGAGCTAAGATTATGTATCTGAAAAACCAGTGTTTAGAGAGTATATAATTGATAGGAGATTAAATGCTAAGGAATAAAACTCTCAAACTCTTGTCCAATGTCCATTTATGTTGATAAATGTGAATAAATGTCCCGGATCATGGCTGTCCTTAGACCCTCCTGCATCAGCAAAGGACAATAAAATAAAAAAAAACATGGGGAAAAAATGTGAGAAACCCTGGAGAGGCCTTTATTGAGAGAGGGGTCCGCTCCCACAGACAGACTGTAGATCCAGGAGTCAGGCTGTAGAATGAGGACTGAGACTGTAGATCCAGGAGTCAGGCTGTAGAAAGGACTGAGGCTGTAGATCCAGGACTGAGGCTGTAGATCCAAGAGGCTGCCAGGCGAGGAGGAGGTGTTTAATTATCGAATGGCTTTATATCATGTAATTGTAGCATTTCATATAGCTTAATATTTGACTATTTGTCTTTGCTCTGAGTAAAGGGACAACCAACTATACCAATATTTCTAACAGACTGCTTTCCCCACGGCGCTCATCAGATCTATGAGAAAAAGCAGTTTATGTGAAGGCAAAAAAACATCATAACTTGAAGGGAAAGAATTGAATGCCACAATCTCTCCAGCGCCTGAAGCTGAGGAAATCCGCAGGACCGGACGGGATCAGTCCCAGGCTGCTGAGGACCTGTGCAGACCAGCTCTCTGGGGTCCTCAGCTACATGTACAACCTGAGCCTCAGCCTGGAGAAGGTCCCTGTCCTGTGGAAGACCTCCTGTGTGATCCCGGTCCCAACAACAGCACACGCCAAGGAACCGGCTCACTACAGACCAGTCGCACTGACCTCCCACCTGATGAAGATCATGGAGCGGCTCATCCTCACCCATCTCCGCTCCGTGGTCAGCCCCACCCTGGACCCGCTGCAGTTCGCCTACAGACCCAACATCGGAGTAGAGGACCGGCATCTACTTCCTGCAGCGGACGCTCTCCCACCTGGAGCCCACCGGGAGCGCTGTGAGGGTCATGTTTTTTGACTTCTCCAGCGCTTTCAATACCATCAGACCGGCACTGCTGCGGGGGAAGATGGAGGACGCGGGAGTGGACCTCACTGCATGGACCATCAACTATCTCTCAGACCGACCACAGTACGTGCGGCTGCGCAGCTGTGAGTCTGAGGTGGTAGTCTGCAGCACTGGGGCCCCTCAGGGCACTGTTCTCTCACCGTTTCTCTTCACCATCTACACCTCAGACTTCACACACGACACACACAGCTGTCACCTGCAGAAGTTCTCAGACGACTCCGCCATCGTGGGCGGTGTGTCTGAGGGGAACGAACTGGAATATCGGTCGGTGTGAGCACAACCACTTGTGCTTGAACACCAGTAAGACCAAGGAGATGGTCATCGACTTCAGGAGAAAACCACTTTCCCACACGCTGCTGAACATCCAGGGGGAGGACATCGAACTGGTGGACAGCTTCAAGTACCTGGATGTTCACATTAACAAAAAACTGGACTGGTCCCATAACACCAACGCCCTGTACAAGAAGGGCCAAAGTCGCCTCTTCCTTCTGAGGAGGCTGAGGTCCTTCGGAGTGAGCAGGCCTCTGCTCAGGACTTTTTATGACTCCTTCAGTGGAAGACTGAGGCACCCTCAGTGTAGGAAGGAGCGCTACCGCAGGGCCTTTATCCCCACCGCTGTCAGACTGTACAATAAGTCACTTTAAATGATCACTGTGTGAAAACCTGCACTACTATTGACACTGTTTCCAATTGACACTTTTGTTGCACATAATTATTGTCACTTTTATTGTACATATATATCCTGCATGTAACATGTTTGCACATTTCCTCCTTTTGCACAATCTGAGTGTCTCTATCCATGCCAAATGTGCCATGTAAATTTCTCCTATGTAAGTAAGTAAGTAAGTAAGCTTTTATTTATATACCGCCTTTTCACTGCACATCGGAGTCTCAAAGCGGTTTACAATTGTTATTTTTTTGGGAGTGGGGGTGCCAGTACAGCAGGCACATGCCATACCTATTGTACATATTTTTAGTGGTAGGGGAAACCGGAGCACCCGGAGGAAACCTACGCAGACACGGGGAGAACATGCAAACTCCACTCAGAAAGGCCCTGGTCCAACCGGGATTTGAACCGAGAGTGCTATCCACTCAGCCACCGTGCCGCCAATAAATAAAGAGATTAATAAAGCACATCTTTTCTTAATCTTAATGCCAAATGTAAGTATTTGTGAAGGCCTTAAATATGGGACTCCCCAAGGTTTCTCACTTTTATCCCACTGTTTTTATTTTTGAATGGCTCCTTGCTGTAGGACAGGTAGGATCCAGGACGTTTAAAGATATTTACGGACATTGGTCATCCAGTTTTTAGTCCATCTACATTATTTTTTGCCTTTCCTGTGTCAGCAACTGTTTGAATCTCTGATCTGTTGTTGAGGAATCAGCAACATACAAAAATAAAGTGAGTAAAAGGAAATTAATTGGGGCTATTTTGTATAGAATTTCAAACTGAAAACGTACCAAAGTTAAATATGTTTATTCTAAAATGTCAAATGCATACATTTTGTAACTTGGTCCATTTTAACATACAGCTCTTACCTCAAACATCCACTAAAACAATAAAAACACACAACAAAACTGTACAAAAATCCTCACTTTCAGATTTCCACTTTGCTACGGAGAAGAAACCTTGGACGGAAAACAAGTTCATATAAAATCAGACGTTGTCCAGATCACATTTTGTCTTTTGTCCTTCATAAAACCGTAAAAGAATCACAAATGTAACAGACGAGTCCAAGTGTCCAGTGTCGACTCAAACACACATTTTAAAGAATAAATATGATGCATTATTTGTGTCAGTTTTATCCCTCAAAGCTGAGAATATGTTGGTATTTCATTTTTAAGAAAGTGATGTGAAGTGAAGAAAAAAATTGTTAAGGAATTTATCTGATATCACCTAATTGGTCAAAATACTGTAAGAATTTGATTTTCTATGCAATACACTTTGAGGAGAAATGAAAAAATAAAGTGCTATAATTTCAGTTGAAAATATATGGATTTACATGAGTATGAGATGAGTATGAGATTTTCCATTTCCTTTTAGAGACGGAGAATCTCAGTGTACCACTATGACATCTCACTCAGGGCAGTCTTTTAAAACAAAAGTATAGCCCATAAGCTAGTTTTGGTATTTTTCTATTATTTACGGTCTATGGTAATTTCTTAGGTGAATAATATTCTTTATCCTCGCTTTTTTTGGAATTCTGAAAAAAATCTTATAAAGTTTTACTCCTCCCTCTGGTGGTAGCATAGAGAGTTACTAGCAGGAAGCGCTTTTTTACCCTTGATACTTGTTTAACCGTATATTTTTACACAAGATAATATTCAACATTTTTACTCATGAAATAAAAAGCCAAAACATTCTCATTATCATTTTTAAGAGCCAAAAATAATGCATCATATTTCTTCTTTAAACTATATAATCATAAATACGTCTTGGCTGGGTTCATCAACGCATCCTCGTTGTTGGTTTGGGCCAGATCTTCCACTTCGTCTAACTCTGCTCTTTTCAACTGGGACTTTGTTGTGGATGCTTCGCTGAACTCCGATTTTGCCGATCCGGGTCGCTTCATTTCGATTTTTGAAGATGGCGTCCACGATCTGTCCGACTCCAACCTGGTCTCATCCGCCATTGCTGGCCTGGTGTGCGAGAAGTTGGACCTGTTGGTGGGTTGTTCGTAGCTTTGCGATCGTGACATTGCTCCAACCGGATGACTCTGGACGGACGGGAGCCTGGGATGCGACCCGTTGGAAGACCGGACCACCAGATACCTCAACGACGGGTTCTTGTCCGTGTCGTGAGCCTGGGGTTTGCACGCCGAGGTTATAAACAGCCCTCCTCCTAGTATTAGCAAGATGGCTGACCCCCAACCGATGTACAGACATGCGCCAAGTTCCCGCTTCTGCGCATCGATCGCCACGCTGTAGAATTGCCGGACCACTTCGCCGGCCGCCCACAACGCCGGTATAAACGTGAAAACTCCAGTAGCGACTAAAACAGCACCGGCGGCGATTGCGACTTTCCGTTTCGCCTCAGGGCCTTCGTTATCCAAAAATCTCGTACATTTCCCGCCAACAAACGCCAAGACTAGCCCAGCAGCTCCTGTCACGACGGCTAAAACCATAAGCGCTCTCGAAGCCATGAGATCGGACGTTAGCGCTAGCATAGAGTCGTAGGGCTTGCATTGGATGTGTCCGGTGCTTTCGACGATGCAGGTCATCCAAATTCCTTCCCAGATGGTTTGAGACGTGATGATTGTGCTCCCAATGAAGGCGGTCACTCTCCACATTGGAAGCACGCAGGCAAAAATTACGCCAGCCCATCCGACCAGGCAAAGCACACTCGCTAGCATCTGGATCCCGACAGATGCCATGGCAAAGTCTCTCCAAATAACGTCCAAATCTCTCTTTCTGTCTCTCTTCTCTCACACTGTCTGTCTCTTAACTTTGTATCTTTCAGCTCTCCTCAAATACCTCTACTTTCTCAGCTTCAAAACAATGTATCGTCCGCGAGAAGGCCGTCAGACTGTCCTCCAGTGACTGTTTGTATCAGTAAATATCCCTGTTCTTTCTGCAAAGGCAAAAAAACTGGCTTTTAAAATGGCTCCTGTAGAGTTGTACAGTGGAGTGCAGTTTCTATTGTGTTGCTTGAGTGTGTGTTGTTGAGCTTCTGTCGCAGCCGGACCACACCTACTCTATTCAGAGACAGGAGGGAGGAGACTTAACCATAGAGACAGGTGCACCCAAGACATCACCTGGAGGTTTTATTGTTTGATCTATTGCTTTTTGATTGTTTTCATTACTACAGTACAACATTACTAAAAATGTATGTATTGATGTGATAAGTTGTATAAATCAGGAGAAATTACCTGCCAATATAGATTTCTCAAATGTTACTATTTATTATGCATTTATTATCTATCTATTATCTAGCCATCTATCTATCTAACACACATTTCTTTGTCTTTCTATCTCTTTTTTCTCCCCTTGTTTATTTACTTTTTCAGTAATACACTAAGTATCAGCAAAAATAAGAAAAGTCAAATTAGCTAAACTGCTGTATGTTTAATATGTTTGAATAAGTGTGTGATGTCTCTGTACGAAAAGGCCAGAAAAGCAGAGTAAAGTAGGTGAATTAAATCTCGTGGGACAAAATTAGTTTCGTCGCATTTGCCGGTGTGTGTGTGGGTGGGTGTGTGTGAGTGTGTGTGTGTGGGTGTGGAAAAACCTGTTTAAAACGCAGTCCCCTCCCCCAGAGCCATGTCCAAATACATGTCAGCATCAGAGGCCGAAACTGACAGGTGTGTTTGAGTGTCCATTCTTTTCAACGGGAGGCTGTCACCGTGACTCATGACTCATCACCGGAAAGAACAACTATATACACTAGCACACACACATACATATACACACACACACACACATAAATAAGAAATGCAAGCACAGAATCTGCACAAAAATGATTGAAAAATAGATATTGTCTATATGTACACAGTTCTTGTTACAGTGTATATGGATATTTATCAATTAAGATTCTTTCTTTGTCCCACAGAGGGGAAATTTCAGTGTTGCATCACAAGTTTCAGTAGGAGCACACAGCACAAGACACAGGTGAATATTACTGTACATATCGCACAACTCTTTGCTTTGAAAATAGAATAGAATCTCTTTACATTTATTGACACACACATACATAATATAGAGTATCTTATTTTAGATACATTTGGTCCAGGTGTTTAAACTTTTTAGGTTAAACTAAAAAAATCTAAATTATATAAAGCATTCTCTGGACACGTCATTATTCATTCTCTCCATGTGGTGGCGGTAAACTATTGCAGTAGCAACAGTCGCCCTGGGGCAGACTGGTTTAAGCGAGGCTGCCAATCTGAACCATGGACCACTCCGACCACCACCGATCATTCAAACTGGGCAATGTGGGTAAAGTGTCTTGCCAAAGGACACAACAAGGGATTAAAGTTAATGTTGGTTACTTTTCCAAATGCAAAGTGAGAGGGAGACTTTTTGAAGACAGACTGGCCTCCTGCTGGTCCCAGAGTCAGGACTAAACATGAGGAGGCAGCGTTTCACATTTATGCTGCTAAAAATCTTCCTGAAAATATAAGACAGGCTTCCACTCTGACCATGTTCAAATCCAGGTTAAAAACAGTTCTGTTTGGATATTTATTATTATATCTGTAGTCTTTTTATTGTACTGTGATTATTTATGATTTGCCTTGTGTGACTTTGGTTTTTCTTATAGCATTTTGGGTTGCCTTTTGTATGAACTGTGCTGTACAAATAAACTTGCCTAAATATTGTGCTCAGGAAAATATCCATTTCTGTTTGAATGCATGAATTGAAATCTCTTATATTATTCTGACTTAACTTATCCAGCAAAATAATAGTGAATTTTCCGGTTTTACTTTTAAGTTAGTTAATTTGCAGCCCAAAGGGTAACTCGTTCGTCTCGTTTTCGACACAGGTTTCTCTTCTGTGACTCGAGGCCACGTTGGCGCTGAACACAGTTGCTTCGCCACTTCTCGTAAAAAAAACCACCAACTCGTTTTTCCACATTCACCAAAGAAAACAATCGCTCACTCGGCAAATGACACACACAGACGAATGAATGAATGAGGTTTTGTATTGATCAACAACTGCACACACATTAAATCAAATACACGTTTTACATCCAGTGTCTAGAAGCAAATAAACAGTAAAAAAGTTACAAAAAGTTACAAAAACAAATAGAAATTTCACGAGTGTCTTCCGCACTCTTTCACACATTTGCACAATTAAAGGTACATTAATGTGGTATAAAAAAGTCTTATTGTTGTGATTTTGACCAGATTCTATGGACCAGAATTTCAACAGCTTTTCACCATGTGTCTCTCAGTCTGGAATGTGACGCCTTTAAGAACCAGGTAATAGTTTTATCTTTATATCACATCGGCACATATAACAAGTGAATAGTAATTTTGCAAAAAACAGACAAAACATATTTGAAAAGCTTAAAGTTTTCTCTACACCAAGTAATCTTTGTCTATTTTAAAGCTACAAAGCTACAAAAAGAATCTTTTCAAATTCTCTGCTAAAAACAAAACCAGTTGAGGATTGTAGCTTTAGAAATACAGAATTTTGACACATTTTCAAATTGTTGATGTGTTTTTGCAAGTTCACTTTTTCCAATTACAGTCAGTGTTGTGGTATTTTTGACAGTTTTCACAGCTGGTTTCCACGGTAACGTTAACTGCTATGTGTTTAAGCTGTTATTATTTTATATGTACAATGACAACCAAAACTAGAAGCAAATACATGTGTTACCATGAAGTGTTTTGGCACTACAACTTAAAGCTGGGGTACCTAAATTTAGACGCATTAAAACTATGTAATAGATACATGCTCTTAATATAATTTGGTTCTAACACTAGTTTTTTGCATGTATCTTTGGGCTCATGGAAAACATACATGCTATATTAGCTTTAGATTATCTTTAGATTATCTCTTTGAATTGGAAAAGAGAGGACCACCCTCACTCAGCCAATCAAATCTCAACCCAAAGTGACTCAGAAAGCTATTTCTTTCAAGTATGCTGACAATAGCACGTTTTGTATCAAGATAAAGACTGATGTTGTGGTCTGATTCATTCACAATTTACCTTTTACAAGACTTTCTTTCGCAACAAGCCTCATGTGTTATTCCCTATAGACCAAAAGTTTAGTACCCCACCTTTAAATCGTCCATATTTTTAGTTTTATTCAATCTCTGCTCTTACACATAGGCTCGGCTGCTGTTCACGGAGCGGGCTTTCGAGTACTTCACGTCGTAATTGTTTTCATCTCTGGGAGGACACGAGCTGCAGAGGAGTCCGCCGCCCAGAAACAGCAATCCAGCCGATCCCCAGCCGATGTAGAGAGAGGCCCCCAGCTCCCGTCTCTGGGCGTTGATCATCACCGGGTTGTAGAAATCCTGAATGATGGTGTTGGCGGTCCAGCAGACGGGAATAAGCAGCATCAACCCGGCCGCGATGAAGACGGCCCCGGACGCGATGGCCACTCTACACTTCTGCCTCTCGTCGTCCACAAAGTTAGTACATTTCCCGCCGATGACACCGAGAATAATCCCGAACACTCCGACGATCACGCCGATGACGACCATGGCTTGGGCGGCTTGGAGGTCTGGAGGTAGAGCCAGGACGGAATCGTAGACTTTGCACTGCATTTGCCCCGTGCTCTGGGTCACGCAGTTCATCCACAGGCCTTCCCAGATCACCTGCGCGGTCACGATGTTGGCTCCGATGAAGGCGGTGACTTTCCAGGTGGGGAGAGCGCACACGATGATGCTGCCCAGGAAACCCACAAAGGCCAGGACCAAGCCGAGCATCTGGCGACCCGTGGACACCATCTTGGTAAGGTTTAAGGTTTAAAAAATGGGACAAAACCCAGAACTGGTTGTGGTAGAAGCTGGAGTGGTGTGTTGTGTGTTTATTGGGAAGTACTTGTAGGTGAAAAAACAGGCGGGGCCTAGAGTTTCAGCTGAATGTGGACAAACCAGACCGTGATGAGGCAGTGGTGAAGAGGAAATGCATTTGTAAAGGTTTGTTAGGGGGTTGTTTTGGGTTGTCCTCGAGTCGTCACATGGTGTTAAAGAAATACAGGTATTTGTGGTTCTCATCCAATCTAATGTGGGAATTTCTCAGGTGAAAAAACACTCTTAACAAGTGATATTTTGACATAAACTGTCTTATTTAGTGATACATATGACTCATTCGCAAGTATTTATAGTTCAATTCAAAGTATTCTTGTATAGCCCTAAATCACAACAGTAGTTATCTCAAAGGACTTGACAAAGCTGTTGAATTTGCCGTCACAGATTAGAGAATCAAACAGTTCAAACACAAGAAATGAAACAATAAAAACACACAGAGCCATTGGTCCGTAAGGGGCAGAGACCAGTGTCTATAAATGATGATAAATCTTGTATTCTACTTTTATCTTTTTTACTATAGATAATATACCATATCTTTCATTTGTATTTTCACTGTTTTGTGGAGAATAAGATTTACTAACCACTAAATGACAAGGATGTATCTAACAAGACAACATCTTTCAGTCAAGTTTATTCTTTATGGAACATTCACAGTGTGCTACAATCAACCAGGAAGTGGCTTTATTGGGAAATATTTCTGTTTCCATTTAGGGATATTTTCCTCTTGTAAGTTTTGACTAAAGTGAGTTTGTGAGTTTGAGCAGAAGACAATAAATTATTTCAATACAGAACATTACAACAATCTCAAAGGGAAAGATGAGATATTTTAGGGTCCTGTGTAGAAAACGAGAGCCTAACCCTAACTCTAAAAAGATAAAATATGAGGTTACAAATGCTTGAATCAAGATGTTTTTAGTACATTCTGACTGTTAAAACAAGATTTACAAATGGGATGAAGCCATTTAATCTTACTTCAAGAAATGTTGCTTTATTTTCTCATTCCAAGAGAGACATTTCCTTTTAAACAAGATCATTTTGCTTTGTCCCGTTGACAGAATGTGCTGAAATTAAGATATATTTTGCCAAATTTTAGCAATTTTTGACTGAAAGCCAATCACTCTCAGCCCAGAACATCAAGTGACTTACAAGGCTCTTTCTCACATATGCAAAAGATAAATAGGGTTTTTAACAAGAGGAAAAATGCATGTTGTGATCTGATTTTCTTCTGTCAATTTTACCAGGCTCTTGGGACTCGAGTTGAAAATTCCAGGAATGACATTGTGAGATCAATCTTGTTTTATCTTTGGAAAGGGAATTTACCAAAAATATACCAGAAATGTTCCATCTTTTGCAACCCTATTTGAGACAGACAATAGCTATTATTTATTAAGCAGAAAATATATGTATCCCAGCTTTATCATAAAGACAAGGCTCCTGTTTAGACAGGTTGACTGGGATAAGAAGGATAGCTCCACAAAGCTTAACTGTACAGAGATTCTGGGGAGATGTCTGCATACTTATACCGGGACGTCCTGTTTGGAGAAGCGAACCCTGGGAATACTGTTCTCTGTGTGCGATCGGAAAATCCAGAGTATTCCGAGGGCTGGGGAGGAGGCGGGTCGTTTTCCCAGCAGACCAAGCCGATGAGCAGGGCGGACAGCAGCAGCAGCACGGAGGAGATCAGACCGATGTAGACGCTGGAGCCCACGTCTCGTTTCAGGGCCTGGATCAGAAGAGGGTCATTGCTAAAGAAGTTGGTGACTCCTGCCGACCAGCTGACCGCGATGAGGCAGAGGAGGCCGGAGAGAGCCACCAGACCCCCACCCTGGATACGGGACTGGAAACAAAATGGGGGGGGGGAAAAAGAAACAGGTTGTTTAGAAAGCTCGTCAGTGTCTCTACTCTCTGTGGAAACTTTGAGTGAGACCAGAGAGAGACCAGAAAGAGACAAGAGACAGACCAAGGAGAGACCAGAGAGAGAGAGACCAGAGAGAAACAAGAGAGACCACAGAGAGAGACCATAGAGAGACCAGAGAGAGACCAGAGAGAGTCCAGAGAGAGACCAGAGAGAGACCAGAGAGAGTCCAGAGAGAGACCAGAGAGAGACCAGAGGGTGACCAGAGAGAGACCAGAGGGTGACCAGAGAGAGAGACCTGAGTGAGACCAGAGAGAGACCAGAAAGAGACAAGAGACAGACCAAGGAGAGACCAGAGAGAGAGAGACCAGAGAGAAACAAGAGAGACCACAGAGAGAGACCATAGAGAGACCAGAGAGACCACAGAGAGAGACCATAGAGAGACCAGAGAGAGACCAGAGAGAGTCCAGAGAGAGACCAGAGAGAGACCAGAGGGTGACCAGAGAGAGAGACCTGAGGAGACTAAAGAGAGACCAGAGAGAGACCAGAGAGAGTCCAGAGAGAGTCCAGAGAGAGACCAGAGAGAGACCAGAGGGAAACCAGAGAGAGAGACCTGAGATCAGAGAGAGACCAAAGAGAGACCAGCGAGGGACCAGCAAGAGACCAGAGAGAGACCAGTGAGCTCCGCTCTGAAAGAGGACTGTGAGCTGCTTGTTCTTTATGAATCCAGAGCTCAAATCGAGCTCTTTGAATAATCAATGACTCTTCTGGCTCCTGGAATAGCCATGTTCCAGCTTCTTCCCTCAGGCTGAAAATCTTGTTCGCTGACATGCAGGACATCTCGTTCTGCCAAGTTTAAACAAAGGACTTTCATGATCTAGGACTTGTTATTCAAACTGTTTTAGTTTGATCAATTTCACAGTGACAATCATTTATTCATGGAGCATTTGATCCTGTGCTAACAATCTTGTGCTTCAGGCTCAAAAGTGTTTCGTCTTCTGTCTTCTCTACATGCGATGGAGGCACAGGACCAGTAGGGGGTGCTGTCTCAATACCAATGCGTACTGTATGTGCATGTAATTGAGTTATGACATGGATATATGCCATTCCAAGTGCATTGGAAAGGCATATGTTTGTTTTAGATAAGATTATGCTAAAGTATACTTTCCTCAATGATATCCAAGTTCAACATGAAGAGCCAACCTTTTGAATCACCGTTGATTCCCTTAAAACTCCATTAATTCCCATGGTAATATTCCACCACACACACACACACACACACACACACACACACACACACACACACACACACACACACACACACACACACACACACACACACACACACACACACATCCACATAACCACACACCCTCCCCTCAGTGTCAAATGTGAGGTATGGGGAGGTGTGGGTTTGCATTTCTTCAACAGGGACAAGGACAACTGCAATAATTGATCGAAAAGATGGATATAAAATCATTTTGGAAGAAAACTTGATGGAAACTTGAAATCCCAGTTGGTTAAGTAAGACCCCTGGGGATATTTAAGTTCTTCAAAACTTTACATCTGCCAAAAAACATTACATTTGAGAAACTGTGGCATAAAATTGTACAAATGGGATGTTTTCTGCCGTTTAACAACTTGAAATAGTCAAGAAATGTCAGTTCTCACATAATATAACCACACATGCACGCACACACACATAAAACCACACACAAATACACAAAAACACACACACAAATATACAAAATCACACATATACACAAAACCACACACACAAATACCCTAAATCACACAAGCAAATGCAAGGTGAGGGAAGCATCATGCTATAGGTTTGCTTTTCTTCTGCAGGGACAGGGACGATTGCAAACTTGATGAAGAGAGCTAAATATTTGAGGCTATATTCCAAGTATTTGTATGTTTTCAAACGGGACAATGACCAGGAGCGTGATTCCCGTCCATAGTCTCAAAGTCACACACACACACACACACACACACACACACACACACACACACACACACACACACACACACACACACACACACACACACATGGTGACCAGTACCTTCTTCCTGCTGCCTCTGCTCTCTTCTCTTGGGTCTTCTTCTCCGCTGCAGTTCACCACTCCACCACCGAGCAGCGCGCCACCATGAAGCCCAGGAAGGCACAGATAACGGAGATGAGGGTGAGAGCGCGTCCCGCCTGGAGGTCAGAGGTCAGAGAGAGGCCCTGGTGACACTGCATCTGCCCCGTGGCCTGGACCACACAGTGCAGCCACAGACCGTCCCACACCTGCAGCACCCAACACCAAAACAAAGGGTTAAAAAATATATATATTATAGAGGCAATTGCGGAGAAAATACCAGGGCTCATTCTACACACCGGGGGCATTGCTGGAGAGTGTATGTGGAAGATTTTTTTTAAATTTTGTATAGTTTTATACAGTAAGCCGCTTTAAGTAACTAAGGATTACTTTTATAACTGAAAAATCTGTCAAATATTCCTAAGTTTAGGATAACAGAAGGTGACTCGGAAAATTAGAATTATGTTCAAAAGTCCACTAACTAAAATATAATATAAACGTCTAACAGTAGTAAAACCCCAGAATAAAACACATCTCAGAAACATTATTTTAACCATTCATTATTTTAGCATACAAGTTTATATTTCTTGCGCTAGACAGGCACATACTTGACATTCATGAAAAAATACCTTATTTTTTCGAACATAACCGTTGCGATAAACAAGAGTTGACTGTATTTGTAAATGACTGGGACTCCCAACAGTTCATCTATAGTCTACCTACATTGTTTTATCATTACACTGCAAAAAATGATAAAACATGAGTTAATAAATGCTTGAATCAAATCTTTTTATCTTAATTTTTGTACATTTTGAAAACCTAAAAACATGATATAGGAGTAGCAAAAATGAGGAATTTTATATTTACTTTTTTGTAATGCATTGTGGCTCTTTATTATTTTAATCCCATGTGTTAAGGGTTTTAATTACTTGTGATTTTATTCTGTTTTTAATATTTCTTGTGTTTTTTAATTACTTGTGATTTTATTCTATTTTTAATATTTCTTGTGTTTTTATGTATATGTAGATTGTAATGTTTATGATTTGCTTGATATGATGTGGGTTGTGTAGGAAAGGTGCTATACAAATTAAAGTGGATTCATTAATTGATTGAAAATTTAAGAAATGTCTTCCTTGGAATGAGACATAAATGGCAACAACACTGGAAATAATAATATAATAAATGGCTTGTTCCATTAGAAAGTCAAAATATACCCAAAAAGACATTTATTACCTTATATGTTGTCACTTTTTGCTATACATTCAAGGTGTCGTATGTGTTTGTGTAGAGGTACAGAGGAGACCGGACTCTTACCGACTGAGCAGTGACTATGTTCGCTCCCACAAACGACGTCTCTCTCCACATGGGCAGTCCGCAGGTCAAGGCCACCCCCAGGACCCCCACAAAGCTCAGGGTCAGTCCACACAGCTGCCTGCTCTGCCCGGCCATGGCCCCACTGCTGCCTCCTCTCACTCCATCTGATCATCCACCGTAAGACCAGTGTGAAAAATGTGAACTTTTGGATCCTGTCAAATATCACTAAACAAACAGAGACATCTTCAGACACCACCCCAGAGACAAACACACATCCGGTTCTGCAGGTTTTGTGCAAATTTAAACAAGTGAACTTTTGCTTGAATATTTTAACAAAATAATAAGTACGAGCCTCAACTGGGAGTGGGGCCTGTTTGCGTTCCCAAAGAGGAGAGTATAATGTCACATGTTTGTCACGTCTAGATCAACTTTTGACCACCCTCAAAGTTGAGTCTCTATGTTGTCTCTGTCTTGTATTTTTGTCATGATAATGTATTTAATGTATTTTAATGGCTTTTTAACATCACTGACAGGGGACTACATTTGAAAAATTTCCTCCTTGGCTAATTCTGGCTTTTTTCACTCATGTTTAATCATGTGTTTTATTAAATTGCATTGTCCTCTGACAACTGAAACTGGCCCTAATCTGCCAAAAGGCATTACTACACCATGGTGTTATCTTTAACTGATAACAGTAGTTCAGGGATATTTGAATCTAAAAAAAGTTTTACAGCCTCTAAATCTTGTTTTCATTTCGATGTCCTGACCTCCACCGTTTTATCAATCAGAAAGTAATTGATCCGGGTTGGCAGAACTCACAGCGTTAAGCTAATCTCACTGGTAAGTACCATGTGGCCTCAGTACTAAAAAAGGTCAAGTAATGATTCTCAAATCATTAATAACAAAACAACGAACTGCTCATACTGCCTTACATCTACTTCAGATATTATTTGACATTCTAGAACATGAAATTACAAAGTAAACACAAGTGAGGAAAATAAGCCAAAAAAAATCTCAATGTATCTTAATTTGAGCACATTCTGACTGCCTTTAAAAAAAAGACAATGAGACTAGCAAAAGAAGAAAAAGATACCAGAAATGTCTCCCTTGAAATGAGGAAATAATGCAGTTTTTGAAATAATACTAAATTACTTTGTCCCATTGGAGAATACAGTTTAGATTTGAATCAAGTTTGAACTGAAAATGTGATGGTATCAATCCAAGAATTGTGTGTTTTTAGAAAATATACACATTTTAGTTTGGATTGGAAATAGTTTACAAATAAGATCAAGTCCATCCACCTAAAGTAACATGGAGTAGAAGGCACAGGTATTGGGGAAATGTTTATTTATAATGTTCTACCACCAGATGCCGCTAAAAACAACAGCAACATCTGTGAATATACCGTTAATATAATAGATCCATGGTGAAAACTTGTACAAAAATATACAATGGATTAATATGACTTCTAACTGAAGCTGCCTTTAAAAAAGGACGATAAAACAAAACAAAAGCTGTTATTCTGCTCATTACATGATCTTGAGAATATTTACGAATGCCATGTTTTATATCGTGAAATGATTTATTAAGTAAAAAATGTAGACATGAATAATGCAGAGATGGCGAATTTACAAAGAATAGATTTATTTCCAAAACTAGAATGATTGAGGCGTGCAGTAGTAATAATAAAACACAATTTAACTGTAGAAAAATATTTCACTTCTTTTGTAGAGTGTAGATAGTTGGCCTTGCAACAAACCACGTGTCTTCATAACATTGTACACATCTTCTCACATTTATAGTATGTATAAATGTATCTATTGTGATTAGTTACAACAGTCACAGTTATTTAAAAAAGACATTGAGAATTCAGTCCAACTTCAGAAACAAAAGTGCTAAAAACATTTGCAAACACTGCACAGATACGCGCCAAAAGTCTGTTATACTGTTGTTCTTCATTTAATTCATTTATAAAACTTTATTGTGTGTGTGTGTGTGTGTGTGTGTGTGTGTGTGTTGTTATTTTTGCTGTTTGAAAAAAAACATTTGAAAATTGATTTTGAAAGGTGAGGCCTCTGGCATTTGGTTGTGCCAGAAGTTCCTCATATTTCAGGAGATGGAGCTAATTCTAAGAAGCCGTTTACATGAGAACATGAGAACGCTACAACAGTAAAACAATTGAGTTGGTATCGGTTTGGCCTTTCATTTGCACGTAGACAGTGTTTCAGCTCTAGCGCTGCGAAGCTCTAGTTTCAGTTTCCATTTTTGCTGCTGCTGTTAAATGCAGAATGATGTTGGTTCTTTCAAGTCTTTGCCATGGGTCAGCACTAGATCATATGCGGAATCGGGACGAAACAATCGTACTTTCAAATTAGTTTTAGACTAATAAGTCCTTATGTGGTGACTGGTTAAGTTTTAGGTGTCTGAGTAAGATGGTTAGGGTTAGGGTTAAGGGTGGGTTAGGGTATAGGTAGTTTGTTATATTTACTTCTGCTTCCGTTCCGATTCCGTATACAGTATGATCTAGTGCTGACCCTTTGCCATGGCCCGAGGAGGATGTTGTTGAAGAAGTGGTTCCACTGTGTCGTGTTATAAAGTTCTACTGGCCCCTACTGGTTTGGGCGCTAGAACTAAATCGTTTTCTGTCGTCGCCAAGTAGATGCTTTGCACTCCAAATAAGGAGCCTGGTGGTTTTTGCTAATTGCTTTGCAGGGTCCTAATTGAGAATCCAATCCAAACACCTGATCTCATGTTGTGCATCTGTGCAATAACTTGAACGAATGTCAAAATGTGCAATATAGAATCACATGTGTCCACTTTCACTTTGTCACATACCCTTATGCTGTTATTGTGTACAAATGTATACATACAACTCGATATTTCTTGCACTAGAATACATATATAATATATATATATATATATAATATATATATATATATATATATATATATATATATATATATATATATATATATATATATATATTATATATGTATGTACACAATTTTATACTTGCTTATTTATTATGCTAAATATAGATTTGTTATATTATTTTATTTTAGTTATTGTTCATTTATCTTGGGTGCTCCTCATTCCATCTGTCCTGTAACAACACTGACATTTCCCCACTGTGGGTCAAACAAAGCATGTCTAAAGTCTTAATCTCATGAACCAAAAGTGCTCTAAAAAAAACATTGCGTAAACTCTTCCACAGTCTGTCATACTGTGGTCCGTGTCTGAAATCTCCTTCAACATCCATACGTGCTGCAGAGAACACTTCCCCCGATGATCAGCAAAGCCCCTGACGCCCAACCCACATAAATACACGCTCCCAGCTCTCCTTTCCGTCCCTCAAAGGTCGAAGGGTTATAAAATCCAGTGATGATGTTATGCGCGGTCCAGCTTACAGGTATGACACAGAGAGCCCCAGCGACGATGAAGACCACACCCCCAGAAAGTCCAATATTGACCTTCATCCTTCGATCGTCTCTGTAGAAATTAGTACATTTGGCTCCGACCACCGTGAGCCCGATTGCCGCCAGACTCACCCCGATGGAGGCGCAGATCATGGCCCGGGCCGCCTGCAGGGACTCCGGCAGGGCTAGGATGGAGTCGTAGGCCTTGCATTGAGAGTGGCCGGTGCTCTGGATCACGCAGTTCATCCAGATGCCCTCCCAGAAGACCTGCGCCGTGACGATGTCGCTCCCGATGAAGGCAGACATCTTCCACATGGGCAGAGCGCAGATGAGGATGGTGCCAAAGAAGCCGATCACAGACAGGACTATACCAACGATTTGAGTCTGCATGGTTTGAAGCTGGAAAATAGCATGGGTTGAGGTTGAAAGGGTTGAGAAAGTTGTGCGTAAACAAGCCCTTATGCTGGTTTCGTCTGCGTGTGTAGAGCTGGTATGTAGAGGAACAGGGAGGGGACTGAAGTTAGTTTGCGGATCAGGTTTCTCGTTCGTCCTGATTCCACCTGTGTGTGAAAGAGAGTGGACAAGACTTTACTGTAGAAAGCTAAATGTCCCAGATAGATCGAATAACAGGTTTTGTATGAGACAAAAAGGAGGGCTGTAACTAGCGTCGACTGATTTTGCAGAGAAGGGTAGTATTGTAGTCAGGAAATACATAAAGTATAAAGGCTACTGTTGGGCTTGCCTTTTCATCTGCATTGCTTCAACTGAATAAAAAAGGACTTTAGGTAATTGACTGCATTCAAACTTAAGTGGGATATTTAAAACTAGGATTTGCTTAGTTTTACACACAAGCCAAGCTGATGAGCACGTTTGCACAAGTTTCCCCTTTCAGGTTTTTTTAAACAGCAAAACTTGTCCATATCAATAGAACACGTGCACAGTATTAAAGAACCCAGTGACCATTTCATAAGCTTACTTGGAAAACGGGTGCAGATGTGACAGGCCAAAGTTGAATTTGATAGGCCGATTCTTATAAATTGGCAACTGCTAGAGTTTAAGCAGTGATAGACTAGTCACTGCCTTGAGGTACAAGTTTTAGAGATACAAAATAAAGGCCATCTGAATTCAAAGGCCTAAATCTTTAGTAAAGCGTCAAGGCTTAGAGTAACTAGTTGAGGTCTCTGGACAATACACCATTACCCAGACCTATGCCTACTGCGCAAGTTATTTAAGTAAAAATGCTATTGAAAATCACATAAAGTTCAATTGTGAATGAGTGGCACGATGCAGACCACTGGTTAAAGCAAGGAAAGTGCTGCTCAGTCAACAAGAATCTCAAACCTTGTAATTTAACCCAAGCCAAACATGAGCTAGTTTTACCAGAACAAGTCAAGGTTTTAGAGTACCTAGCAAGAAACTGAAGAGACAAGTGTAAAACCACATTACATTTATTGATAAAAACTTTAAAACCAGTTCATGAAGCTCAGAGTTCAGACATAGGCGTCTCTGCTGGCGGCGGAGCGAGGGGCAGAGTACTTCACAGAATACCCACTGTCCTTCTCCTTGCGGCACTGGCAGCAGAGCAGAGCGCCGCCGATGAAGAGCAGCCCCGCGGAGCCCCAGCCGATGAAGAGAGAGGCCCCCAGCTCCCTCCTCTGGGCGTCGAGCATCACAGGGCTGTAGAAGGTGCGGATGATCTCGTGGGCCGACCAGGACACCGGGATCAGACACAGGACTCCTCCCACGATGAAAAACACTCCAGAGACTATGGCGATTTTGCTTTTGGACGCTTCATCTTCCACGCAGTTTGTGCATTTGCCGCCGGCCACAGAAAGGAGGAGCCCCAGGAGCACCACCAGGATGGAGATGACCACGAGAGCACGGGCCGCCTGGAGGTCTTGGGGCAGAGCCAGCATGGAGTCGTAGACTTTGCACTGCATCTGTCCAGTGCTCTGCATCACACAGTTCATCCAAAGGCCCTCCCAAAAGGTCTGCAAGAAACAAGAGATTATATTAGACAGAAAAACAACTTTGGGCAAGTTCCAGCAAAGAGTATAGAAGCCATACTCTACTGGTTCCAGTCACTCTTGAGGCCAGAGCACGAAGCCTCAAACCACCAGTCTTTTAAGTCAATTCGTATAACATGTTTAAGTAAGTAATCTTTATTTCACAGACCAGAGTCAAAGCGGTTAACAATTGTGGGCATCCGTCTCACTCCACACAGATGGGAGCGGGGCCTGTACAGGAGGCACATGCCAGACCTATTGTACACGTTTTGTGTTAGGGGAAACTGGAGCACCTGGAGGAAACTTACAAAGGGAGAACATGCAAACTACTCAGAAAGGCCCTGTTCCTACTGGGATTCGAACCCAGGACGTTTTCCACTCAGCCACACTTCCTGAACAGTGCATCAACAGGAGTAATATTGCTTAGTAAATAAAAGAGACTTAATATTGTGGAAAAGTATTTGGGCTACAATGTCATGTGAAAGCACACCAATACAGTCAGTAATACTAAGCTGCATAATATGAATTGGCACAAACTGGGGTTTATTTGTAAAAAAATAAGTAATGAAAAAAATCCGGACAAGGAGGGGGAAAAGGCTGTTCTGGTTTGACATTTACACACATTGTACAGGCTTTTAAAGGGAAGAGAATCCACAGTAGCCACACTACAAAAACTACACAATTAGATAAGTTATCCTAGATTATTAACAAGACTTGGTAACAGGACAAAGCCATTTAGTCTCATTTCAAGAACTTGCTTTATTTTCTCATTCCAAAGGGCGACAAATTGGTTTTGTCCCATTGAAAAGTCTTGTTTTAAAGGCAGTCTAAATCTGCTCAAATAAAAACAAAAAAGTACATGTTGCAAAATTGAGCTTTTTGACTTCACTTTTTGCAGGGCAGAGCAAACCTACAGACAAGGCAAGAACATGCAAACCACACACAGAAATTCCAGTCTGGAGGTGGAAATCAAACCCCTGGACCTTGTTGCTGTGAGAGTAGTGCTAACTGTGTTGTGAACTTGCCTGAGCCGTGACTATGTTGTTGCCGATGAAAGCAGAGACCTTCCACATGGGGAGAGCGCAGATGATTATGTCTCCGATGAAACCGACAGTGGCCAAGAAGACGGCGAGGATCTGGAGTCCAACAGAAGGCATGACGTCCAAACAAATCTGCAAAGTTTTGTGGCTAAAAAGCACAAAAACAGCTTCTAAAATCAGCTTCAAGAGAGAGGATGTGGTAAGGGTCTGAACACTGCTGACTTTAAACTGGTCTCTGAGTGGAATAGTGGCTGCTGATTGGTCGGTTTGGGGAATTGGATGATTAACGACACCTGGATTCAACTCACCTCAAAGGGCGCGTCCCATTTCTGTTTACTGGACACTTGCTTCCTCAAAAACAGCCAATGAGGAGCGAGGAAAGAGGCGGTTTATTTCCATTTGATTGATCACTAAAAAAAACATGAATAATACATTGAAAGAATTCTCAAATGTGGCAAAAATGTATCTTAATTTGAGCATGTTTTGCCTTTAAACAAGATTTGCCAATGGGACAAAGCAAAATGATCTTTTTTCTTTTCTTTTTTTAAAGATACAAGAAATGTCTCCCTTGGAATGAGAAAATAAAGTAACAGTTGGTTTTGTCCCATTGGAGAATCTTGTTTTAAGGCAGTCAGAATTTGCTCAGATTAAGATAAAAACCACTACATTCAACCAATTATTACCTCATTATCTAGGAACCAAGGTAAAGAGGAGTTAAGACTTGTATGAATGGGATGCGACTCACTCAGTATACATTCTGTGCTTCAATCTTTATTAAATCCATTGTTTTAATACATTTTACACCTCAAACTAGTAAAACAAGATCAATATCAAGTAAATGCAGCTGTAGTGGTATGGTGTAGACTTTTGGTTGTTTTACTTTTACCTGGTTTTACTTTTTTAAAGTCACACAGTCATAAAAACCAAAAATACACATCTGATTAACTGCACTTCCAAAACTAAAAGCCGTCAACACCTTTTTCACAAAGATAGAAATCCTCTTTTGATTCCTTGTTTTGTCGTTAAAGATTTGAGAATAATAACAAGACCTTTTATAGTTCTGTGGCCACATGGTACTTTACCAGTGAGATTTGCTCAACGTGGTGATCGGCAACCTGGATCACGGACTTTCTGATTGGTGAAACGGTGGAGGGCGGGACATCGAAATGAAAACAATAACAAGATTTAGGGGCTGTAAAACTTATTTTGAAATACAAATATCTCGGCTGAGCTGCTGTTACTGTTAATGTGTTAGAAAAGAGCATGTTTTATTAATTCCTTTTGACATATTAGGGCCATTTAATCATGACTTGAAATTAAAATCTTGCATATTTCTACTTTATTGAAAAGTAAGCTGAAACAGGCGAGTATTGAGAAGTGATTTGAATTTCTGTAGTGAGTGGGAGTTTCTGATAGTGTGGGCAGCTGTGGTGAAGACTCGGTCCCCAAAAGTTCTGTGTTTAGTCCTTGGGGGGATTGAGGAGGTTGGAGTCTTAGGACCTGAGGCAGCGGGTGGGACAGTGATGATGGAGGAGGTCAGTGAGATATGAAGGGGCAGGTTATGGAGGGACTTGTAGGTAAAGGTAAAGGTGCACTTTATTAAACTCCATAGGACAATTCATACTCTGCATTTGACCCATCCTGATGCCGCTAAGTCTTACGTCAGGAGCAGTGGTCGCTGTGGTAACAGCGCCCGGGAACCCATCTCCAGTTGTTGGTGCTCGGCTTGGTCAGGCCCGCCAGAGTTGGAGGATTTTTTACCTAGTGTGCATGTTTTTTTGTGGTAGGAGAAACAGGAGTACCCAGAGGAGACCTAGGCAGGCATGGAGAGAACATGCAAACTCCACTCAGAAAGACCCTGTTCCGACCGGGATTCGAACCCAGGTGAGAAGCGGAAGTGCTATTCACTCAACCACCATGCCAGTGAGAAGGAGGAGGACCTTGTATTGTATGCGGTACAGGGACAGGGAGCAGTGGAGTTGTTTGAGGACGGGGGTGATGTGGTCTCTGGAGCGGGTGTGGGTGAGCAAGATGTGACAGAGACCAAAAATGCATACCTGTATGTGAAAACTGGTGATGAAAGCAAACTGTTTTGAGAGCGAGGGACTAGATCAGTGGTCCCCAAACTACTGCCCCCCTCTACATTTGCTCCGGCCCCCTGAGCAATACCAGAGAGTATTTTCATATATGGGCTTGTTCACACTAAAGGGCACAAAAGTGTGACAAAAGGCCATAAATTTGATTTGAATAATCTGAAGAAATGTCATGTTTTTCATGTACCCAAATACTTCCTCTGTTCATTAGAAGTTTCTAGAACATAACTGTTTTATGCATTAGACAAGTTTCCTATAGTGGCCCTGTTTATTTTATGTAACGGACGTGATGATTTGACGGAATGAGCTTTGCGGAACTTTGTTACATATTTTTAGATCCACATTTGATTAAGAGATTCTATTTTTTTTTTTTACATGGAGTAGAAACAAAGTGATACTTTCATACTGTCAACCAATTAAGTATGAAACCAGACCAGATTTTTTTTTTCTCAAGTTTAATTGTTAGAGAAAATGGACGGAAACATCACATCCGTTACACATTTATCAAGGGTCATTTAATTTGTATTTATTTCTTTTTTGAACGATTCCTTTTTAAATCAAGTGATTCAAAAATTATGTTGTGTTAACCATGTTAATCTCATGGGATTTCATCTGCCACTTTTTCAGGCTGAGGACTTTTTATTTTCTATGTAACTGGCGTCACAGTAGAATGGTCCAATCAGAGGCTGATTTTGTCGTTAAAAAAATATTTGTCAATCTCCTTTTGATTTTATCCACACTATCTCTTCAATGTGTCTGTGTTTGAAATCTTTTTTCGTATTTTTGATAGTAATTTTAGTTTTTGAGTTATAACCTTTAAAAGTCCAGATACTTTAATTGACACTTTACTGTGAACGCACTCATGCGTGTATTAGATAATAAAGTTGGACTTTTGCAATAAAAAGTTCCTTAGTTATGAACTTGTTGACACGGCCCCCATTGAAGAAGGGAAAAGTTATGTGGCCCTCACAGGAAAAAGTTTGGGGAACCCTGGACTAGATAGATGGATTGTAATTTGTATTTCATTATTTCATGTGTTTTTGTGAAGAAAATGACAAAAGATGCGGAAGTCTGATATAGTGTCATAATGTTTGTAAACGACAAAAACAGACTTTTGAGGTGTAGACTTTGCTTTATAAAAGACAACACTTGTCTTAGCATCTGCCATATCGCCAATAGATATGTTAGCTTCGACCTTTAGATAACCAAAACATCAAGTGGAAAAGTACCAAGACTTATGGCATAAAACAATCATAGTTGTTTGAAAGTAAGGTGCCCCAGTTTTAAATAAAATACATACAGTACAGTGTGTGTGCATTGAATTGTTGCTCATTCACAAAACAGATAAATGCTAGAATTTCTGAAAAAAAGAATACATTACAATGACATACTGTTATATAGAAGTGACAACATCAAAGAACCGCCTTCTTCTTTGAATATTTCCCCTTTCTCTCTTTCCTCATGAGGCTCTACACTGACTCTTTTGACTTGGGGCCACATCTGAAGTCTTTCTTGTTACCAGGGCCACTGAACCCTGCGTCAGCTTGATAGATGCTTGTGTTTGAGGCCCACCCAGCGTCCTGCTCTCTCCTCTTTTCTGCCTCTTTATAAAACACACAACCACACTCTAAACCTCCAGCAAACCCCCGAGAGAAGGACCCCTCAACGCTACGCACACCATGCCATCTTTGGGGCTACAGATCCTGGGCATCGGCCTGGCTGTCCTGGGCTGGCTCGGCAATATTCTCATCTGCATGCTACCGATGTGGAAGGTGTCTGCGTTCATCGGGAACAACATTGTGGTGGCGCAGACGATCTGGGAAGGCTTGTGGATGACCTGCGTGGTCCAAAGCACGGGTCAAATGCAGTGCAAAGTTTACGACTCTCTCCTGGCGCTACCCACGGATCTGCAAGCCGCTCGAGCCATGGTTGTCATCGGCATCTTGTTTGCGTTTTTTGGGTTACTGCTGTCCATTGTGGGGGGCAAATGCACCACGTGTATTGGTGAGAAGGGAGCCAAAGCACGGGTGGCGATCTCTTCCGGCGTTTTCTTCTTTTTGAGTGGAGCTCTTTGCCTCGTGACGGTGTCGTTGCCCGCGAATACCATCGTCAAGGACTTCTACAACCCTTTGGTCCCAGATGCGCAGAGGAGAGAGCTGGGAGCCTGCCTGTATTTGGGATGGGGGGCCTCGGGACTCTTGCTGATTGGAGGGGCCCTGCTAGCTTGTCAATGCCCCAGCAGAGAGAAGCGATACAATGGACCCGCCTTTGTCCCCAAGTCCACCTCGCCTGATAAAGAGTTTGTCTGAAGAAAAAATGGATATTACCAACTAATATTGCTAACAAGGTCCGAGACAGTCTGACTCAAATCTTGTATTATTGTGGAGACATTGCTGTGCGTTTTGACTTGTTTTGATGAAGAGTAGAGGATTGTTTTATTTTAAGTCTTGTGCCATTGACCTTCTTCTTTGTTTTACACGGATCCTGGGAGAGAACCCTGATTTGTCACGTTTACCCGACATGTTTTGATTCCTGTATGCCTTCATTTCTCAATTGTGTTTTTGCTAATATCGCTAACATGTTTAGACTCTCTGTTATAACTGTGTGGACTCTAGGCGTGTCTTTTGTTTGAGTAATAAAAACAACATTATTTCTTTTCAAGTACACTATGTACATGTGTCATCTCTTGTTCTATTCAATGTGTGCTTGTCAAAAATATAATAGTAAAATGTACAAACTGTATCCACCATATACAGTTACTAGTAAGTGGGGAAAGAGTATTACATGGGTTGCTTCAAAGGTGGGGTATCTAACTTTCAAACCAATGCCTCTTTGGGTTTTTTATCATTGAATTTCTTGTATTTGAACTGTTTGATTCTCTTAATCTGTGTTGCCAAATCAACTGTTTTGTAAAATCCTCCAAGATAATTACTATTGTGATTAATTACACAAAATAATTGAATTGTCCACGGACTAATGCCCTGTACTGTAAAACTGTCCACAACTATTCAGATACAAAGTTAGAGGTGGTTTAATGTAAAAAATATATAAAATTAGCTACATGAAAATATACTGGATGCCCTTCTGTGCCATGTTCACAAATACAGGTTGGTTTTGTTAAAGTCAAGGACAGAAAAGAAGAGGTTCTGAGGTTTACAACGATGTCTGTATTGGATATTTATGATGGCAATGGCTAATGTTGGGTTAGCAAAGCAGAGGGCCACGGAACATGACACAGAGGACCGCATTTGGCTCTGGGGCCTAAGTTTGGACAGGGCTGATTTAGATGAAAATGGAGATTCTTTCTTGATACAGTAACCTGCTTTACCAAACTCGTACTTCTTTTAATATTATTTCACATTGTAAAACATGAAAGTGAATATTCTAAAGTCTATTTTAAAAGGCGAATTAAACTAATGCAGCATCAATGTGGTTTTTTAACACCAGTACTTTCAGAATTATGAAACTACTAAAACTCCCAGAGCAGTCATTTCGACGGCTGGATGGATCCATTTTTGTTTGCCATTAGTTTTAATATAAGTAAGCAATTTATACAGAACTTCACCATATGTGCCAAAACTTTAAATACAGAAAAAAACCCTTAGAGCTAACTGCTACAAGTAAACAGTGCGTTGCTGTGGTAACAAGCAGACTTAGCTCAGACCCAGATCCAGTTCAGTAGTAAGTAAGTAATGTTTATTTACATAGCACATTTTACAGGCGAAAGTCACTCAAAGCACTCATTACATTCAGACCTATAGCATGTGTTTTTAGCGGTAGGGGAAACTGGAGCAACCGGAGGAAACCTACACAGACATGGGGAGAACATGCAAACTCCACATAGAAATGCCTGGACCTTCTAGCTGCGCCACTAGTTCCAGTCCACGACCAGCACATTGGAGAGAAGATGCAAGAATACATTTGAAGTTAAAGGTAGAACTAGTAACATGTGAAAAAAAGAGTAGTGTTAGTGTATTTGTTAGTGTAAAAGCATCAGTCTCATTGTGTTGTGTGTATTGTCCAGTCCTCACTATCTGCTGTCGTCGGTCGGCAGCTTTATCCAATAAAACATGTCTTCTCGTTCACCCTTTTGTTTCTTCTGTCTGATATTTTAAATCTATCAACACCCTCTTTGGTTTTAGCTGCCAGTTCAATATATATCAACCACACAACAGCCACTTTAGAAGATTTAATACTTTCTCAGGCCCTACGTTTATTTGCCTTTGTGTGTGTGTGTGTGTGTGTGTGTGTGTGTGTGTGTGTGTGTGTGTGTGTGTGTGTGTGTGTGTGTGTGTGTGTGTGCGTGTGTGTGTAGATAAATCTCCAGTCTCTGAGTAGTGTGGCTCGCTCCTTAGCAACCAGCATTCAGGGCCACTGTAGTCTGGTCTGGTCTGGTCTGGTCCAGTTTTGACCTGATCCAAACTGTAAATTCCAAGAGCGAGGGGGAGGGACGAACAGAGCGGGGGAAATACTGGGCACCGACACCAAACAGACTCTACATCACTGGGGATTCCTGAGTCCTGAGTCTGTGTGATGGTGTTTTTTGAGAATTTGTTGAAAAAAATACCATAATGTGTTTATGTGAATGTTTTTAGAATCTGAATTTTTACTAATAAATTGCCAACATCACAGATATCCTTTATTCATTCCACAGTGGGGAAATTACAGAACAGCAGGAATGAGGAACTGTGCCAATGACATCATCATCATGCCCAGAACTGTTTTTTGGATTTTTAAACAAAACATAAATCAGTGGTAGCAATTTCTCAGGTGATTTTTTTTTTTTTTTGTGGCAGATGAACATTGTCCATAAATATAAATATATGATCATAAACGTTGTTGAATGTGAATATTTCTGGATCATCACCACTACTGGAGGGTCTGAAGTTAACACTGCAGGTTTGAGGGTTGTCATGTAGTTTGAGAATTCTGGGATTCCTGGTTTATCTCCAACGACTGATTTTGTTTTTCCTGATCATTCCCAATAACACCACTGGGTAAAGTTTGTATTCAATCGTTTTATTATAGTTTTGTTATGTTTCACATAACAAAACTATATGTGAGGGGGGGGGGGGGGGGGAGGAGACTCCTTTAAACTTGAAAAAAAATATCCAAACGAAAACATAGAGTAGATGAAACAGAAGGTCTATTGTTTCTCTTCTTCGACATTCTCAGACTGCAGGGTTTGGGCTCCTTCTAGTGGTTAATACATGTCACTGCAGTTCAATGATTTTACACTGATTTTAAATGTTTTAGATCAGAATGAGCCAATACCTAACTATGTAACAGGATCCATCCATATAGTTCATCTACAGCTCTAACACTAGTTTTCAATTACAAGTACATTTGGCCTCTGTCACGTTTTTAGATCTGCTTTTACAGACAGAAAAGTCCAAGCCCAAAGTGTCAAATCGTGACTCGCAGGGCGCAATAGATAACAAGTTAACAATAGTATGAAGACAAACAAGACGCTTTCAGTTGGTTCAAACAAACTCGTATTATTTATGGAAAATAAGAAGTTAGGGATCGCAGCTTGAAGTCCTTCTTTAGTCCTTACTCTCTTTTTCTGTGGTATTTTGAGAGAAAAGTCACAAAACAACAGGAATATTTTTGTTTAACTAGGTATAGAAGACAGATATAAGATTTCAGTTTCACAGTTTGAATCAGTTAAAAAAGTTATTCATACAAACAAAATCTAATCAAACACACACACAGATGTTCAATGGCAGTGGATTTAAAAGAATGTTTAAATGTTTAAATGTTTAAATGTAAAAAAAAAAAACATTTACAAAAAATCAGATCTTTTGACTTGATTTTTTCTCGTCAAATTCACACAAACATTTAGAAAAACATACAATAGCAGTGGATTTTGCGTAGCCTTAGTTCATATCATTCATGGACCATAACCTTGCGTCTTGTGACATCACATCAGCAGTTCACCCTCTCACACATAGTCCGCGTTGGAGTTGGAGATGCTCCTGGCCGGTATGAACTTGGCGGGCATGTAAGGGCGGCCATCTTTAGCGGGGCAGTTGTTGCAGAGCAAGCCTCCTCCCAGCAGCTGCAGTCCGGCCGCTCCCCATCCGATATACAGCGAAGCCCCCAGCTCTCTCCTCTGTGCCGACATCAAAAGCGGGTTGTAAAAATCTCTTATCACCGAGTGCGCCGACCACGACACCGGGATTATAATCAGAAAGGCCGCAATGATGAAGATAATCCCAGAGACAATACACGTTTTTGCTTTCGACGCCTCATCTTCCATACAGTTGGTGCATTTCCCTCCGACGATCGCCATGAGGACTCCGAAAATGCCCACGATGATGGAGATGATCACCATGGCTCTGGCGGCCTGGAGGTCCTGCTGTAGCGCTAGCATGGAGTCGTACACCTTGCACTGCATTTGACCGGTACTTTGGACGACACAGTTCATCCACAAGCCTTCCCAGATCACCTGAGCCGTCACGATGTTGGCCCCGACAAAAGCGGTCACCCGCCACATTGGCATAGCGCAAGTTATGATCGTGCCTATCCAGCCGACGAACGCGAGCAAGACGCCGAGAATCTGGAGTCCCTGAGAAGCCATATCGCCGCAGACAGAGCCTAGACCTTGCGGCTTTGAAATGGTTCTTGTTCTGTGGCTTGTGTCTGGCTTGTCTCTTTGGGTTGTCACTGGATCAGGATATGGGTGGGGTGAGAGAACAAAAGATGGGAGACCTGACACCCAAAAGCTTTTAGCTGTTTTGTGTGGGGTTATTGTTCTGGATGCGTATTGTCTTTGTTTCCTCAAGCCATGCTCCGAGAGGGAACAATGGCCCCAGCTCCCACCTGTGCTCGCTCACAGAGACCTGGGTGAACGCAAGGACTTCACAGGCTTTATATGTTCAAATGGTGATAGTTGAGTGAAAGAATGTACCTGTAGTCTAGCCTCAACCCAAAGGATTGTATGAGAAAGAGTGTTAGGATTTAGCAGACAGAGACGGATCGTGGCGCGCCAAACTCTGGAAGTTTATTTAAGTTTCTCTCAAGTTCCACTGGTTTACTTTGTTTCTTTCTCTCAGACAGAATAAAGGCAGTACACAGTTTATATAGTCATTGTCACGTCACACATCGAAAGACATACGTGTCACAAAGAGACAGTCACATCATAGTCATAACATGGAGTCCTTGTAGAGTCCTTGTACAGTCCTGCACGTAGGCCATATTGCTATCTAATACTAACACCCTCCCCTTTGATCACATAATCACATGTGATCACTCAAATTGATCAATCAATAAAGTGGAAAAAGAAAAAAAAAAAAATCTAAAAAAACTTTAAAAAATTATTAGAAAACAAAGAAAATGTATGCATTAAACTCATAATCATCAAAACACAGACAAAAACGAGCTGAGTTTCAAATTAGAAGCTAATTTCACTTTTCTTACTCTATACTTTTATTCTAATGCTGATTGTTTACACTACACTCAATCTTATTTCACTGTATTATTTTCACTTTTCAATCTTAGACTGTGTACTTTACTTTCACTATTCACTATAGTTTAAAACTATTCTAATCTATTTACAAATATGTTTGTATATTTGCTTTTATTGAGCCATATTCTTAAACATACATTTTAATCTAATAAATCTCTCTGTGGTATTACACTCTCATTATCAGTGGCATATTATTAGTGGGATTTTGCTCCATGTCTATTCTCATTCTCAGGAATAAAACTGTGAACACAGAAAGACAAATGGTTAATATTAACATTATTATGGCGGTCAGTTTTCCAAATACATTTGTTGAACCAGGAAGTGCTGTCACTTCCTCCTCTCAGACAGTTTGGGATGAATGTAAATCATTAATCAAATTAGTATTATCCTAATAGTAGCTAATTAGGTTTGGGGTTGGGGTCAGTTATTCTACAATGGTGTTTGCGCTGGAAACTTCTCAATATCTAAATATCTACTATTTTGTTTTTGGGCTACACCCAAATGCATCAAAATGCTTTTAAATGCTTTTGAATCTCTGTTGGTTCTAATCTATCTCATTGATCTAGGCATTAATCTAGACTACACTCATATGGACTTTTTGTATTGTCAACATTCACCAATGTTTGAAAACAAGTGAATTTGGCAAGTATCTAATAAAACTGTACATAAACTGTAAGTAACTTTATCTACTTTTGAAGTAAAGGTTTGTGAAATGGTCCCTTTACCATTTGATATTAGCACTGGCTACAAATAATCTCTATTTTTGAAAGCATCTATGGTTGATGAGTTTATCTATATCTCTATTTTTACTCTACTGTGACTCCAAAGCTCGGCTGCAGCTTGAGCAAAGGCATATTTCTAATCTGTGACTTCTGTCACTTTTAATGGCTGTAACATAACTCTGATTCTAATATTATATCTGCTCTATCAGGAGGATAACATTGTATGGTACTATTTTAACTCTTACGTGGAAATATGTTTATGAAAAACAAAGGAAGGACAATTCTATTCTATTTTACTACTATTTAACATCTACTAAAACGCTACAATAATCATACTTTATCATTTTAAAACATTTTAACAGTCTCAGTCTCCCAGACTAAAAAGTCAAAGTTTTGTCTGTCAGATGTCTGAATACTTAACATGTATATTGCATTTGGTCACAGGTTCTGGTTGTAGCAATAGCATCGGCAATAGATGATTTTTCATTGGCTGGTTCTTGTTCTGCAAATGTCTGTGTCCAATAGATCATCAGATGTCCAGAAGCTACGGACAAACAAAAACAAAAGAAAGAATCATGAGTATCTCTCTCATTTAGCACTCATCAATGTATGATTTTAATAATATGTATTGTGTTATGTTGTATATTATGTTATATATTATTCTGTATGTTATTCTTTATTCAAGGCTAGGTTTAAAACAGTCCTCTTTAGTTTAGCATATGGCTAGGAAGGTAAGACTCGGAGAAGGTTAAACTCCTCAGAGTGTTAGTCAAGCTACATAGGGAGTCAGTTTGCTGGGAGAAGTATGGTAACTTGAGCACTATCCTCTCCTCCTTCCTACTTTATCTGTTTAGCATTTTTAGGATTCTGACTGTAGTTTGTTCATTGCTATTCACCCGTTGTCCCATTGTCTGTTTCATGGTACGATGACGGGATCTCTGAGCCTGGCCTCTTCCATCTACACCTGCGGACTGCCCCGCCCGACCCGCCTGGGAGTGCTTTGGTCCTGCACCGGACCTGTCCACGTTCAGCGTCCACTGGTCCACGTTCTGTAGCTAGCTTAGGTCCTAGATCATTAGCCTGTCCGTCCGGAGGAGCGGATCCCTTTCTCATATGGGTCTCCCTCCCTGTGGGTTTCCCTAGTTCTCCTCCAAGGTTTCTCACTTTTTCCCACTGGGTTTTTTAAGAGTTTTTCCTTGTCGATGCAGGAGGGTCTTGTTGGACAGTTAGTGTCCAACAGAAAGGATTGGTGATGATCAGGACACTTTAGCATTCTACAACATGTATGGACATTTTCTTCTGTGTGTGCTTTATATTCTTCATGTGTTTTAACTGTTGATTCTCTGACCTGTGTTGGTGATTTCAATGGTTTTGTTAAGTCCTCTGAGATGACTTCTGTTGTGACCTAGGGCTATACAAGAATAAATTGTATTGTATTGTATTGTATTGTAAACATCACTCCCCAGCTTTTCTCTCTCAGATCCTCAGGTCCTCAGAGGGTGAGTCTCAGTCGTCATCAGGTCAGGTCATAGAGAGATGTCATCTTGGACATCAAGATGACATCTAGGGTCCAAGCCATGGTTCTGGTTTCTCCAGATGCACATCAGGATCTCCAGATACAGTCTTTTCACTTGAAGCACATCAGGTCATTTGCGATGCACTTCTGGTCAATGGTGCAGTGTCTCAGTTCCTGTACACAGCTTGTTATGCAGTAGTTACTCTCTATGGTTAAATCACTTTGATTCTACTTTAACACAATATCTATTCATGCTGTTGCTAATGTCCCTCAGACAAAAGCAAGCGCAGTTTACTTCTCTAATTTGTGTTTTTATCAGATCTAATCAATGTAATTACTTCACACAGTACAAAATCAACAAATCAAAAGTGTCAGGACAGAGGTCAATTAAGTCCATGACAATATAGAATTCAAATGAACATTTCTGGTCTCAAAAAATACTGATTCAAATAAAGATTCAAGTGATAGACAATTAAAAATGTGTTTACATTGGAGTAAACTTTTAAAATGCTTTTTCTCATGTTCTGCTTTTTCATGTATCTATATGTAAATGTGAATGTGTGAGTGTATGAATGTGTGTGTGTGTATGTAGGGTGTGAATTTTGGGGTTGTGTCTCAAGACTCCACGAACCACCTGTAGGTCTCAAAGGTCACACTGTGGTGATGTAACCACGTGGACACACTTTCAACTCTCATTCAGGTCTCTCCCTGACGCTCCACCATCACGTCTCCAGAAACCTCCCTTTCATGGCCCCGGTCTCTCTCACACCCACTCAGCTCTGCAGTGGCGTGGGGAGGGGCAAGGAGGTGGCATTTCCCTTTGCTCTTTGATCTGTGACCTGTGGCTGGGTGGGCTTTGGTGTCCAGTGTCCAGCAGTGACCTCTCGTACAGTGTGGCAGAGCCTGAAAAACAATCCTTGAGACGGCCAATTTAAAAAAACAATAGATATCAGTATGCGAATGAGATTGTTTTTCTCTCTGAAGTCAAAACAATTTTGGAGCGCTCTTGGCTTTCCCACATGCGCTATGTAAATAAAAGATTACTTATTATCTTACTAATGATGACATTTTTAAGACCAGAAACTCTCTTAATAAAAAACAAGACTCAAATCTCTTAAACCTTCAAACTTTAAAATATGTATTATGTACTTTTGTACTGTGTGTTTAATTATCTATGCGTCCTTGGGTTTCTTGAAAGACGCCATGAAATGAAATTATTTTGGAAAACATTAAAACATAACCTGAAATCAAACAAAAAATTTAACTCCAGCTAAACTGGATTCGGTTCAATAAATAAAACTCAATTGTGCGTCGGAGCTGCCTCCTCCTGTCTCTGGGCAGCAGGAGGAAGGTCAGGCGTGTAGTCAAAACAAAAACGTCACCGCTTGCAATGGGTGAATTGGGTAGTTTAACTTAATAATATAATACTTTTACAGCTAATGCTAATTCCCTCTTTCTTTTTAGACGAAGTCTATAATCAATAATTACTTTTAACACAGATTCTAATTTAAATGTTTGAAAAACGGCTTTTGTAACTAAAATAAAAACATAAAAACAAACACAACTCACAAAAAGTTAAGAAATAAGCAGCAGATTTAAAAGAATGGAATCTAGAAATATGTTAGGTCTAAAAAGAATTGCACAGCTTTAGCACTAATATTTGGGTTTCAAAAAACATATAATATTCAAAACTTATTCACTAATGGTGTTTAAAAACGTTTAACTGTGTCATAACACAATGTTCAATGGCAAATTTCGCAAATTTAACTGAATAACAACTATGAAAAGCCAGAAATCCTAAAGCGATAGCTTTGCTCTGATTCAGAGCCAGAGCAGCGAAGGAGGGGGCCGTTTCCCTGACAACGGCAGCAAGA